AAGGGGGAGGGGAGAGGGGTGCGGAGAGTTTTAGCGGACAGCGGCAGTGCGCCTTCTGACAGGAATTGCTCATAATGCGAAGATGACTTCGAGCAGCGCTCGCAGAATGGACCACCCTCTCCCGGCCAGAGACAGGAAAGGGAAGAGAGGGGGGAAGAGGATGTCATGAAGCAGGAGAAGCGAGAGAAAAGAATAAAAGTGTGCCCGCTCTCACAAAGATTTTCCTGCAGCGAGAAATTTGTAGAATGTGAATAAAAGGCCCCTCGGTTTTGCTAACGCTAATAAAATGACCTGTGTAGAATCAGGACCCTCTCTTCCAAAAGAATATTTGACAGTTAAGCTCTGTAAATTTTTCCTTCTTGTTAGCGTCAGAGCATCGTAACGAATCATTTCGTTATTTCACTTTATTTTCACATTATCTCTGGAACCGAGCGAAAAATTAGTACTTACAGGGGCTTATTCGAAAGCCCCAATTTTGCTTGAACTTTGTTACCAAACGACCTAACGTGGTCATATCGCTCCTTGAGATCTAGACTGAATTTCGTTCCAACAATTATTCAACGTTACTGTTTTAAAATTTAAGTGTCTAAAAGTCGTTTTTTTAGTTTCAATCTAGTGTGCTTCTAAATTAGATTTGATCATTTCTTTTGATTAGTGACCCTAACTCACCAAGAAACAAAATAAATCCTGTCATAGCAGTACTACATTTGGTCAATTTGATGAAAATATTATTTTTACTTTTTTGCCCAGAACTACCCATGTATTCAAATACCAAGGTCCCCATTTTTTTTTGTAGTTGGTGTTCATCCAATGCTGGTGCTCGTCTGTGAGTGTTGCTTTGCACCTCGGATCACTGTAATAAGTAATGTTAGCCACGTTTAGTATGCAAACACTCCCTTTTCGAAAGGGGTACTGTGCTGCCCCGGCGCCAGATACATCCTCCAATCCAGGCTACTAGCGCCACCAGCGCAAACTTTTATTGCGCCATCGCCGTTGTTTGTCTTGCACCACGTCTCACGGCTGGCGATATTCGCCCCTCTTGCCACCTTCCCGTTGACTCTTCCTTGAGAACAAAACATAAAACCGTTGATTGCAGTTGAGGCTTGCCGGCGCTGTGAGCAAAAGATGTGGGCTCTTATTTCCACCGCGAATAACACAGTGAATTGCTGAAGACGTTCAGACACGAAAAAAAGAGAAACAGCAGAGTATTGCTCTCCCCTGCACCCCCTACTCCCCCCATCCGTCCCTCTCCCCCTTACTCTCCTATTCGAAAAGAAATTGGCGGCAAACCCGAGGCCGAACACGGGGCTGGAATGCGAGCACTCGGCGAACAGCATTACGCTTGAGGATGACAAGTTTATCAGGAGGCAGCAGTGGTCGGGGGGCGGGGGGAGGCGGGGCAGCTAGCGGCGGAACGGGTCGTCAAATCGCACCCAATAACTGAAGTTTTGAGCCGCCGCCGCTGTCCTCCTCCCTCGAACACGAAACAACCCCCATTCGCTCTGACGCGATAAGTTTGCCGCTGCGAGATGGGTAGGAGTGGAGCGAGTGGGAAAGGGAAGGGGGGGGCTGAGGGGTAGAATGGAGGTGAGGAGGAGGGGGCGGGGAGAGAAGGGCGGCGGAACCTCGAGGCGGTATATGCGCGAGGTGGTGCTGAAACATTGGCGTCCATAGCCGCAGATTTATAGCCCGCTATAATCGGCAGTCCATGCAGGCGGTGGCCCCGCCCCGCCCCGCCTGGCCCGTCCCGTCTGCGCTGGCCCCTGCTGGCCCCCTTGCCCCCCGCGCCACCGCTGCTCGCTGGGGTGTGTCTCTCCCTCCCCTACCCCTCTCAATATCCCCCCCCCTCACTCTGGCGCGCGCGCGTGCATTTCGCTGCCCCCACCCCCACCCTCCCCGCTCCCCGTAAGACGATTGTCACATTTGGGATAGCCAGCCCCGCCGTTCTATCCTAACGGAGGTGGCGCCCCTCCCCCCTCTCCTTCCCCCAACTCGTCCTGCCCGTTCCGTCAGGCGACGGCCCCGCCCGCTCTATACCCAGTCTATTCTCGCACCATCCGATGTCCACTGTCCGCATATACCTTGCCCATTTCTTGGTGATGACGGGAACAGATTTAAAATTTTCCCTACAGAAAGCAAAGAAATATCCAGTGAGTGAACGAATCCCATCGTATTTCCTCTCCCCCCCCCATTTCCATTTTTGGCGTGCGTCCCTTTAAGCGCAGCTGTGCCGTGTAGCGCTGCAGGGGTGTCTCGCTGCACTGGCCAGTTCGGGCCAGTTTCATATCCAAGATGCGGGCCGAGATTTATCTGGCCTGTGCCGTGGCCTGGCCAGTGTCCGCTATTGCCTCCGTAACTCAGCTTGTGCAGCGACCACGAGGGTCTGCGCCGAGGCTGCGCACTCTCTCCCCCACCCTCCCTCTCTCCCCCCCCCCCTCTCTCTCTCCCACACACACAAACACACTCTCTCCCCGGCACCCAATTCCAAAACTAGTACCATTGCGTGCCCGGCTGTCCCGCCCCGCCCCGGCTGTCCTGCGGGTCGCCCCCGGGGGAGACGGACGCCCCTTCCGGTTGACCTCCCCGCCGCGGGCCGTGCTTCTCCGTTCACTTCCGGTCGGGCTGCACTGCTTTAGGTTCGCACGCTGTCGTCCCCCGGAGCTAATCCGGACGGACTTGTTGGTCGGCTCGCTCGCAGTCGGTTGTGCGTGGAGCGACCGTCTGCGGGACTGGTCAGAGAAGGGACCGGAGCGCAATAACCCGTACCCTCTAGCCGGAATGGGTCACGTTGTTTTTAAAGCAGCCGGTCTCTGTATCTGTTCCTCTTGTTCTTTCTTTCAAAGGCCAACTAGAGTGCGTTTGTTTTGGCTCGGACCACGAGACGAGACCTCTGCCGTCCCGGCGTCCCCAATCATTTTAGAGCCAACAAGCGAGCGGTTCAGAGCATTTTTATTTTATTTTTCCGTTTTATTTTTTCCTTGCTTTTGCCGAGAGACCGTCCAGTCCAGTCGTCCTGCTGCGACCGCGAGCTGTCTAGCCGGGAGTCGCCGTGCGGCGTGCAGTACTGTGTTCTGTGCGCCAGGCCCGGAGTCTGCTGGGTCTGTTACCGGCACTCTCACCGACCCCTAATTTCGTCGGCATCGAAAGCCCCCCCGCTATTGTGGGTCGTTGTGGCGCGGGTCCCTGGTCTCCTTTGTGCCCACCCCCG